GCTTGCAAGCCATTCATCTATGCGCCTCCGCCAACCTCCACCAGAATTTTGACCTGGTTGTCCTTGTCGTTGATGAGGCTCTTGAAGCCCTTCTCTTCAACTTCGGTAAGAGCAATTCTCTGGGTGATCATCTCTTTCGGGTCCATGTCTCCCCTGCTCAGTGCATCAATCACTTCCTGGAAGTCGCCAATCTCATAAGTCGCAATGCCCATGTACGTCCTCTCTTTGAAGTTGAAGTCGTTGGTGAAAATGGTGCAAGGCTTCTCCCATATGGCAATGTTGACGATGCAGCCTCGAGCGCGGGTGGCATGTACGGCCTGATTGAGAGCAGCCTGGACGCCGGCACAGTCGTAGACTACATGTACACCCTTACCTCCGGTGAGTTCGCGACAGCGCTTGGCAAGGTCTTCCTTGGTGGGGTCGATGATGTAGTGCGCTCCGAACTTTCTCGCAAACTCCTGTCTCTTTCTGCTCACTTCTGAGACGATGATCCGATCGCAGCCTTTCGCCTTCAGAGCTAGGATTGTTGATATACCGATGGGCCCACCCCCCAGCACCAATGCGACGTTGTCTTTCTTAAAAGGACTGATCTTGACTGCGTGCCAGCCGACAGCGAGGGGCTCAACGAGCGCACCAATCTCGAGTGGAACATTGTCAGGGAGATGATACAGAGTAGAGGTCGGAACGACGATGTGATCTGCAAGACCACCGCCCCAACCAGACAGGCCGATGAAGCCGTTGGACCAGCAGCAATTTTGCAGACCTTCCTCGCAGGCGCCGCAGGTGTCGTCGTAGATGATGGGCTGAATGACAACTCTGTCGCCGGCTTTGTAGTCAGTAACACCCTCGCCAACTTCCTCTACTGTGCCACTGAATTCATGGCCGAAGGTTAGTGGAACCGTTTCGCCGGTGATTGGGTGGGGCGTGGTAGGGCAGAGATTCGCGCCACCTAGGTGCTCAGCTATGGAGCGCATGTTCGTCATTCGAGTACATACCCAAATATTCGTGGAGGTATAAAGCAACGTCAGTTTCGCTGTCTCACTTTCTGTAATTGGGTCCTTACCTGATCCGCAAATTCCCACCCATGCCGGTTTCACTTTGACTTGCCCTGCTTTGACTTGGGGTATCGGAATCCTCTCGTATCGCAGGTCATGTTGCCCATGGAACCGCAGCGCGTTCATCGAGTTGTCATCTGCCGCGGCGGCCATTATGATCGAATTGGGTTCACACTATTAGAAGCGTATATGAGAGTGACTTGAAAGATGGCGGAGGACAAGAGAAGGACAGAAGTACTTGGTCAAGGTGGCGCAGGTAGTTTGGCTCCTTCCATGGCCGACAAACAGACGTCGCGCTCATTCCCCGGACTCGGTCAGTCCGTTGGCTTCGGTCTGTTCCTACTGGCAAGCGCATGTGTGCACCTGCTGCCCAAGATCACGGAATGCCCAAAAGGGTAAGCCTCCGGTTCATCACCCCGCATTCACGATGCGGGGTACCAGGTGGCATGGCAAATGGCCGGAAGCTTGACAACGCGAACCGATTTGCACTGGAGGGACCAAGTTCTGGACGAGTTCATCCATATCAGCTCGGCTCATGCGCATGCCATTGTAGCAGTATAAGAGCCGCGTGCCACTGAGGACTAGCTTGGTGCACCCGCGTACACAATCCTGGATTCTCAGCATATCCTACTGCATGCGCACTCATTGGTCGACGCTGCACGGAAAGGCAACAAAAAACAAACTCTGGATACACCTACCGATGACCTACCGATGAGAGATGAAGTGCGAGGCCCGGGTTATGACGTCGGCAACTAAAGCATGACGCTCGGCACTCGGAACAGCTACGTCGTCGTACTTTCCCCGTTTGGATCGAGCTCGGAAAATCTGTCATCGCCTTCGCTGAATTCGCCGGCGCTCGAATGCGACATTCTTACAACACGATATCTGGACAACGAAGATGACAGGAGCTATACAAGCGCATTGACGAAATCCACTGTAATTCGGTACGGTCGGAACGACCAGACGCGTATAGTGTGGATTAGCCAGCGCGACATGGCATGGTTTGCGATCTAGCCCTCGAAACCGTTGGCAGAACTCCGATGTGACGGTTAAAGTCGCGATCATTGACGCGTCAGTGACGGTCAAGAAAAAGGTACAATGCGCGCCATAGCGACAACGCGCTCGTGGCTGTAGGCCTACCCAATCAGGGAGCTGCAGGAGCCTCAACGGCGGGTACCCTCTCGTTCTCGTCCACTGTTATGACCTCACTGGACGAAGCGCCATGGGCCGACTCTAACAGCTGGCGGGGGATTGACCGATGCTTGAAATACGTGTGCATGCCCCTCAACACCTGCCCCTCCATCATCTCTCTCACCTCCCCAACAACATTTCCCATACTCCAATTCAAACCCAAACGCAACGATGCCCTACCCAGAGACCACCGACGCCTTCGCGGTGACCGACATCAAGAACTGGAGCACATTCAAGCGCCAGGAGGTTAGTCAATAAGCCAATCTTCCAATTGATAGCTGTACTGACATTTTCCCAGCTTCCCCTCAAGAAGTTTGAGGAGTACGACGTCGACATTGCCATTGACGCTTGCGGTGTCTGCGCTTCAGATGTCCACACCATCACTGGAGGATGGGGCGAGGAACTCCCTCTACCCCTCTGCGTAGGACACGAGGTTATCGGCAAGGTCGTCAAGGTCGGTGACAAGGTCACCCGAGTCAAGGTTGGAGACCGCGCCGGTATTGGTGCTCAGATTGGCGCCGACCTCACTTGCGACCAATGCAAGAACGACCAGGAGAACTACTGCCCCAACCAAGTCGACACATACGGTGCTAAGCACAACGACGGCACTGTCGCACAGGGTGGATACTCCAGCCATATTCGTGGCCACGAGTACTTTGTCTTCAAGATCCCAGACAACCTCGACACTGCCCTCGCAGCGCCCATGCTGTGCGCTGGTCTCACCACATACTCGCCCTTGAAGAGGTTAGGAGCCGGCCCCGGCAAGAAGGTCGGTATCATCGGACTCGGAGGACTTGGCCACTTCGGTGTCCTTTGGTCGGTAGCTATGGGCGCCGACACCTATGTCATCTCGCACTCTCCCAACAAGAAGGAGGACGCGATGAAGATGGGTGCTAAGGACTTCATTGTCACCAAGGACAAGGGCTGGGCTGAGCCATGGAAGTTCCAGTTCGACTTCGTCATCAACACGGCTGATGCGACTGACAAGTTCGATCTCTCGGAATACTTCTCCATCCTCAAGGTCAACGGTACCTTCCACATGGTCGGCTTCCCTGACAACCCGCTCCCTGCCATGCCCGCCCAGATCTTCGCACCCAACGGCTGCTACATGGGCGCGTCCCACATCGGAAACAGGCCCGAGATGGAGGAGATGTTCCAGCTTGCATCCAAGCAGAACATCAAGAGTTGGGTACAGGAGATCCAGCTCAGCGAAGAGGGCATCAAGGAGGCAGTCGAACGCGTGTACAAGAACGACAACGTCAAGTACAGGCTCACCCTTACTGGCTTCGACAAGGTCTTCGGCAAGAGGGCTTAGATGGCTGCAAGAGCAGTGTGGTTGCCTTCTAGTACATAATAGATATCTATGAATAATGATGAATTTTGACGAAACTATTGCGCACTTGGTGTCGTCATTCCTGCCCATCGCGCGCGCTCGCCCCACCAGATCTCAGCGCGTCGCGTAGTTTTCGCCGGCGGGGATTATCCTGCCCCAACACCACAAATACACAACCCCCACCTACTCCACGGTGCTCCTTCAATTCCCACCTAAGCCCCGATCAACTCTCCGCGATGCCGTCGGTACCGATCCATCTCCCTTGCTCCTCCGCAACATCCTCTCGCGCCGAGAACCCCCTTCCGCAGCTCCTCCACACGCCCTCGGGCCTGGCCCTCATCGAAATCCAGGGCACAATCCACTTCCCTCCGCCTGCAGCCTCCGTGGCCTCCACACAAGTCGGCAAACTCGTCTTCCCACACTACAATCCCGCCATCAACGACCCGAGCGACACCAAATGGATGAAGCGCGTCTACATGTACGTCGGCAAGGGCCAGCGCATGACGGGCGAGTGCAAGAAGCTGCCCAAACCGCTTGGTGTCATGCGCAAGAGGGAAAAGACGGATGTGGAGGATGTGGAGATGAGTGGGCTTGGGGACGAGGATGGTGCGAAAGATGAGGAGCTGGAGATTGTGGAGGTGGTGAAGTACAAGATTGTGTTTTCGTCGCGTCCGGAGCCTATTAGTGGCGTCGCTGAGGTGGATTGAGGAGAGGAAGATGATGAAGATACTGTTGCTCGAGTGCGAAAGCCGGGACGATCACTTGCGGTACACGCATAGCCTTCGAACGATCGCGCAACGAACAAGAGCAAGCCTACGCACACGCGACGAGCATCATATCATACGCGCGAGCCGGTGACCGGATGGAGTGCCCGTGTCGCACTGTCGCGAAACAATGGGATATCATACTGCCACATTTCGCGCTTAGACTCTAGGAGGGCGATCAGACCGACTGTTCAGACTTCGAGAAGGACTTCGGAGCAAGCCTTTGTCGTACGCGATATAAGCTGTACCCGGATTTGCAGGCTCGGTCGGCAATCCCTGCATCGGCTGCAGTCACAAGGATCGGGCGTTAGCCACTTGGACACCAGTATATTGATTAAGCAATCTGGCGTCGCACAAGCATATTGCAGTCCAGCCTCGCTCCCGGGTTCTGGTGCTCGCTTGTCGCCCTAGGGTACTTTAACCACTTTACGCGGCGACCACGGTCCGAATCATATCCAGTACGAGCACTATATCTGGCATCATGTGGTAGCGTTCTCGAATGAAGATGGAAGATATATGGTGGCAGGATTGTACATCAGAATGTTCTATCCTCGGGAAGACAAACAATTAGCTATTCACCTGAAGCAGTTGCCATACCTTGCCTCATCATGCGTTGCTCGATCACGACTCTGCTAGCCCTACTAGCTAGCACTACTCATGCGGCTGTAGGAGATTGGCAGCAGTGTATGCCCACCGCAACGCGGCGCAAGTTCCTTTACTAATGGAAGATTAGGTGGTGGTACGAACTGGTCTGGAGAGACAGCATGCAACTCAGGTGCTGGCTGCGTAAAGATCAAGTGAGAGACTGGATCGCATCAACGCCTCGTGCACCAATGCTAACCTTCCAGTGACTACTACTCCCAATGCCAACCCGGTGCTGCACCCGCACCTGCGCCCACGTCTACGCCTGAACCCTCCACTATGTCCACCATACCAGTACCAACATCTACAACAGCCTCACCAAGTGCACCAACCACCACCAGCACCCCCGCAGGCACCGGACCAGGCAAGACACTCCAAAGCGGCTACTACTGGATCCGCGGAGTCGCAGCCCCCAACTTCCACAAATACTTCCAAACGAACCCTGTCTACTCGACTGGCCCCGCCCTCCTCGGCGACTACACAACAGCAGGCCAGTTCCAAGTCGTCAGCGGCCAGCTAGTACAACTAGTCTCCGCACCCGGCGAGCCTGTCAAGCTTCTTTACGCCGTAGTGTCTGAGGAGCGCTCCATCAACGGCATGTCGCTCGCTGTCAGTTTCTCGGAGAGCAAGAACACGTACGGTACGTTTGCGTGGGGTGGCGATGATCTGCAGTGGAGTGTTGCGGGCGTTAATCGGCCGAATAAGAGTGCGTGGTATGTGTGCACTGGGCAGAAGTTGTATATCAATTTGGGGAATTACTTGTATCAGACGCCGAGTGGGTGCGCGGATCAGACTGTGCATTATTATAACGATAAGACGGCGAACAACTAGGGCATGCATGCATGTGGTTCAAGAGACTTGGACAGCGGAGCGGAGAAGAGTTGGGGCGAGATAGATCAATTGAGTTCATTAGACTACCGATCCAGGCAAGAAGACCATGACTCATAAGAGCTCATGGCTAACGCAGTCGAATCTCCACGTACCATTCAGTACCAATGCAGTGCTTTTGTTCTATGCCGGACCCTTTTCTTCCTCAGGTTTCCTCTGTCATCTGCTCAACCTAGCAGAGGTAGCCAACGACGTCGCCGACAGTAGCGCAGTTGGCCATGAGGGGGTAATCGCACTGGCTACCATTGTTACCAGCCTCGCAGCGGAAGAGCGGGCAGGTGGAGTCGTAGGGACCACCGATCTGGCGGACGACGTCGGTGAAAGGGTTTCCGTTCATGCAAGAAAGTTGGTACCTGCAGAGGTGTTAGCATCGAATTTAGGAAGGCTTGAGGTTGGTACAAAGAGGCAGCAAAGGTGTGGGAAAGACACATCTTGATGAGAGGAAGAGAGGAGGAAAGGTCGACTTACCAGATCTTGTGATCTTCCTTAGCCCAAGTCATCTGGTACTGATAGACCGTCTGCCAATCGGCTGGCTTGCGAGCGACCTTAACTATTCCCACAAGTTAGCAATACTTCTAATCGAAACCGTCCCTCTTCTCCGCACTTTTGACTTACCAGAGTGTCCACAGCTATCCTCAAGAATAGGCACAGGCGTGATGAACTTCTGGCCTGCGCTGACCTTGACTTCCTCCGTGTCCTTGGCGCTCATCGGACCGCAGTTCTCGCCCTGGCCCATGCGCGACCCGGGTTCAGCGGCGACACCTTGGCGGACCCAGACATCGAAGCCGCAGTTGTTGTTGAGGACCAGGTGGATGGAAGGAGCGCTCTCGGGGAAGTTGGGAATGACAGTCGCGCTGGTGAGGGAAAGAACCGAGACGAGGGTCAGGAAAAGAACGGTGAGGATGTACATGATGGTGAGCTTTTGGGGGTTGACGAGAAGCTGTATGAGTGTGTTTTGCTTGACGCTGGATGGGGTTGGAGAGAGAAAGATTGTTTTTGGTGGAGGGGCGGTTTTACTCGCAAGATTGCTTCGAAGTGAGAGGTGAAGGTGAGGAAGGAGCGGAGGGGCGCTATTTCCCGAAAGACGCAGTCCAAGTTTTGCGAGGTGAAGGTGAGGAAGGTGGGTGACCTAATCCGGACCAGACCGCAGTCTGAGTCAAGGGCGCACTCTTATCATTCTGAGTAGTAGGAAGAGCTTTTTAGGTGCTTCATGTTATACCTTTATCTCCTTCCTTAGCTGCGCATTTCGAGCAGCACCGGTTGAGGTGCGGAGATAGTGCCAAGCTCAGAGTCAAAGACGGTGAGCGATCGAGTGTTAAAAGTCGAACCCGGACATGCAGTGTTCCATGGACGGTCGAGATACATCAGCGGTTGAACGATCAACCAAAGGACTCATCTCGATGGGTCGAAGCGGTGCAAACACGCTGGCATCGATGAGGCGTTCGTTTCTAACTATTTGCGGAGGAAGCGTGGAATGAAACGCATGATCTATGTATTGTTTTCGTTCGAGCCGAGCAAGATGAGCGTATGAGACTGCCGTCCCAAGAGATCCGATGGGGAGTACTATTCAGTGGGTTGAGCAATTGAGAGACCATGCACTTCTGTCGTTTTCAAGTCATTTCGGTGGATGGACAGGTCATGCGTGAGGTGTCTTTGACTTTGGTCAACTCCATATGCTTGGTACAGCCTATACGTGGCAAGCTTCTCCACCACGAAAAATGCAGCAATGGACTCAATGATCACTGTGAGTGCAGGACAAAGAGGATGTGCATGGTGATAGGTTATTGATGATTAATAGATGAACACCGAAGTGTCTCGCAGCATATCTATTCAGCTCATGTTGCGCATTTGCCAAATGCCATACAAAAGCCCTCTGATATCCAAGTCTATATAGTTCGCGAACACTCAATCAACATCCTCGACTCCAAGTCAACAACGACCGTCATACCCGCCAACCTACTCCAGCCTACCACAAAGCACTCCGACAACGCTACCGATAGTAGCGCAGACAGGCTGGATCGGCCAGTCGCATCCATGGACCGGGTCTTTACCGTACTGGCCAGGCGCGCAGTGAACGAAAGGACATGTGGGGCCGAAGCCAGCGAGGTAGCGCTCAACATCCTGGAATGGCGCACCGTCCTCGGCAGAGAGGTTATACCACATACGGCCGTCATGGGGGTCCAGGGAGTACTCGATCTGGTAGACGTTGCGATCCTCGGGATGGTAGGCGACCTTGACTGGGTGTGTATTAGCATGAGCAATTGCAGATAATGAGGAAGATTAGGAGATGAGATAGGAAATACGTACTGTTGTGACCACACTGGTTCAGCTGACACGGGAAGGGCGCCTTGTACCTATGGCCTGGTAGTACTTCCACCATCTGGGTCTCCCCAGCATGGTCGCAGGGCACCCCAAAGGAGTTGTTGGCAGCGATAGATAGACGAGCCCAGACTGAGAAGGGACAGTGGTTCCGAAGTTCACCTCGAATCTGAGGAATGTCTGGGTCACCCATGCCGATCCAACTAGGCACGGATATAGACGCCATCGAGGAGCCGGGCTCGATCAGTGAGGACATGAAGTGCTCAGGGGAGAAAACATGGGTCCAGTCCTTGGACATGTCTTGGGTCTTGAAATCAGTCGGAGCGGCGTTGGTAAACACAGTAAGGAAGCTGAGTGCAACTGTCCACGATTAGTCGAGCTTGAAGACTTCATGGGGCAACTTACCAGCGAAGTAACTGGAGAAATGCATCGTGTCGATGATAGGTAGATCGGAGAGGATCTAGGAGATCTGATATGTGAGAAGGGGAGATAAGATCGAGTAATGTATATAGGAATAGCTTTCGGGAGAAATCGCTGGTAAGGGAAGTAGGAGCTGGTGTAGAAGAGAAGGAACGAAGAAGTTCGCAGCTTATATGCGCCGATGTGTGCACGCTACTGGCACTGTTACAGCGCGCTCTTACCGTCATAGCGACCAAAGACCCAGGTGACTCTTGCGATAATCGCACGTGTGAAGCAGGAGGCGGTGTTAGCTGGCGGAATGACGAAAAGAAGCCAAGGAACCAAGAGCGTTCGTCGCGGAAACGAGTGAGCAGGAAACGAAAGGCGATAAAGGCCATTTTGAGTTAGGTAAAGAGCACGTTCTTTGATCACGGGTGCCAAGTGGTCTCGAATATTGGGTGTTCGTTTGATATTACCTACAAGCGGCGTATTCTGTGAGCAAGTTACCAGCCCCGTGGCAATACCGCGCCTTGATGTGATCATGAAGCCTCGAAGGTCAGACCGCTGATGACGCGCTTGAAGGGATCGTTTACCTGCGCATAACATCGCGCCACGAGAAAGTCCTCGATGGAGACGGTGACGGGACTGCGCCCAGGCCCAGGCAGGCTCCATCACAACATAGTCTTCGCGGCATTCCATCCCGCAGCCCAATGCCAAAGCCTCGCATCTACTGTCTTGCCCTCTTGATCGTACTTGACCAAGCGGTCGTACAGCTCGTCGATTGGCACCACGACCCTCTCGATGAATTCGCCGTCATCCAGCGCCTGCTCGGGCTCCGCGTCGCCTTCCTTCAAGTTGACCTCCACCATGGCCAATTGCATATTCGCAGTGCTTAGACCAGGATCGGATACGATAGTCGGGCTAATGAAAGCTAGCTTGCCCTTGTATCCAGTCTCCTCGTGTAGCTCTCGTACGCTGGCCTCGCTAGGTGTTTCCTTCTCGTCGACTAGACCGGCAGGAAGCTCAACGCAGACGGCATTGACGGGTGGGCGGTACTGCAGGATGATGATGGTGGAAGGTGGGCGCGAAGGGTGGCGGATGATCGTGGTGATGGCAACGGCGTCGACGCCTGCCTTACCTCGAGTCTTGCGCGCCGCGGCTTCCCATACGCGGTCTTTGCCAGTTTGATCCTGCCATGAGATCTTCTGGAACTCGATCCACTTTGCCTCGCTGGCGGGAAGTGGCTGTAGAGGTAGACGTGCGCAGTCAGTACATATCTCACAATTATATCGTACACGCTGAACTTACCTCTACTTTGACAATCTTTGGATCTTGCGGCATGTTGTAGGCTGCGCAGAGTGGTGCGCGGGTGTGGAAGGTGCGTGGGGGAAGGCTGTGCTGTGAAGTCGAGATGCGCAGTCGCGGTATGGCTCGGTAAATGACTTTAGCAGAGGTCGGTGATTGTTTTGCAAGTAGAGAAAGCGGGTGTCTGTGCATCGATGGTGACTGTTGATGTCAAGCTGTCGGCGATTGTGGACGCTGACGTAGGAGATTCGGAGCTAACCTTGGAACACAGCCCCGCCCGGGCGCGTCGCGCTATCGCGAGGTCACGTGGGCGTGTTGATTCGTGGACCCTCCAGTTGCATGAGTGATCAGGCAGGTGCAGGATAAGCAGCAGGTACATTAATTGAGTAATATAGCAAAGATTCCATCCCTTACTAGGTACAGAATTTATATACTGCTATCCTTTAGTTACTGCGCTGCCGCATGCCAACCCCTCTAAGCAGACGTCTTCCTCACATCCGTCAACTTAACCATCAACGGGCTCTTCTCCCAAGTATTATACGCCTTCAGCCCCTTGAACTCATCCTTCGGATCCCAAAGCGGCGCTCCATCCGCGAACTCAACATCAAAGTTCCACAAAAACGCACCCAGAATCAGCCTCAACTCGACATACGTCAGATTCCTGCCAATGCACCCTCTCGGTCCAGTCGAGAAGGGTTGCGCCGCCTTCTTGGCGTCGCCAGCAAATTGTGCTTTAGACTCTGGTGTATCGAGGAAGCGTTCGGGGATGAAAGTGTCCGGTTGCGCAAAGTTGGCAGCTGAGTGTGATGCGCCCCAGGAACTGACGCAGACTGAGGTGTTCTCGGGTACGGGGTGGCGGTCGATTAGTGAACCGCCTTTGGGTACTGTGCGCAAGAGACCAACGGGTACTGGAGGGAAGA